AGAGGAGTTTTAAACAAGTGGAAGCAAAATATGAGAATAGGCAACATGAGAGGAATGAGAGAACTGACAAGACAGAGAATCTTGTAAAGTTTGGGTCTTTGAGTTTCCTAGTGTCATGCTTTTGGTGACACAAGACAAAGGTTTATTCATGAAGACCCAGTTCCTTATGCCTCTGTCAGAAGTATTCCCCAAGAGAACTCTATCTAAGGAAAAGATGACATGGGAGAAGAATCAGAGGCCCAAGTTAAGAACAGGCCTTAGTTAATGAGAATAAAATCAGATCCTGTAAAGCAGGATCCCAAACAGGGAAAAAGTGAGACGACAACTTTCACTAGAAAGAATGCTAGAACGCACAAGAGGACGAGCTCACAGCTGATGTGAAAACTGGTGGAGTCACGTCACAATTTCTGGTCACTGAGCAGGGAAAAATGTTTTTGTGAAGCTGACAACCTGCTGCAGTTAGTTATAACCACCTCTTTTTCCCTAGAGAGGTGCAAAAGGAAGTTTCAGAGCAGATTTCTTTTTCTCTAACATTTTCACCAAATGTTATATATCCTAATGTGGCTGTTTGCTTCTTGGGGCTGGTCCTGCTTCAAGATCTTCAAGAACTTACAGCAGTCAACTTCATGTATAATTTGGGTTTGATTTTTTTAAGCTCAGTGGTATTTCTCAGAGTCTCTTAAGACTCCATGAGAAGGAATTTAAAAAATAACACTCAAAAGCATCCAACACAGAGGTTCCTCAGTAAAGTTGGATGAACTGAAGAAAATGAGCAACTGGGAGAAAAGAAGCTGTAACAGAGAAATTTGGACTGATGAAAATTAACTATATCAGCACTGATAAAGAATATGAGGGTGTAAGAGTGTCTAGTTAAATAGTCCCAGACTTAAGTTAGACTCCGTTCTCATCCTCACTGACCTCTCTTCCTAAATTCTGTACTCTTGATTTGTCATTTGAATTCATCTCTCAAGACATGTCCACTAACTCTTCACCACTACCACCACCAGGGTACTGATTTATTGTCAACACTCAACACTGTTCTCTTTTACCATCTGAGTGATGGTTGATTTCCCTGGGCCAGGCAGCACAGAGGACCACACCACATGCCCCCTCTGTCCTTTTATAAACACCACTCATGTAACCATGCAATCAAACAGGCATCTAACATGTAAAATTCACAGCTTAGCCTAACTCACATCACCGCAGTGGTTTAACAGTTAAAATGTGTGACTAAAAATCACAAACTTCACTCAGATGTTTGTGTTTTCTTATTTCTATGACTTTCATCATGAAAAATTAGCCTGAAGTAACAGAAATAGCCTAACATGGTTTGTTTAGGATGATTGTAAGTAAGCATGAGACAGAAGTCCAGAACCAGTTTTCACCTCCTATTTTAGAATGTCCGTATTTCCACTTCCTGTCTTTGGATGCTTCCCAAGTACTTTCTCAGTTCTTTAAAATGCATCAAAGGTTAGCTTATTTCCTAAATTTACTTCCTAAGAACTATGACTTTGAAAGCAGTACTTCATTCGCTGTCAACTCTTCCCAATGCCTAGTTTACCCTGGATTGTAATACAAATACATAAAAGCTGTGTCATTGATACGGAACACTTTCTGTCATGTACCCTGGAAAAATTCGTGTTTAAAACTAAAAAAAAAGAATCCAAACTTCAAGGACAGGAACTCGTAGACTATGTCATTCAAGGGCCCTTCTTAGCCTGCCGGCTTCATCAGACTAACAGAAACTCACAGGGAATGAAGAAGAGGTTTCAAAGGCAGCAAGCTGTGTAAGGTAAGAAGATACTAGAAAAGCAGCTAAGATGTTAAGGTAGAAACCACACGGACAACAGAGAAAGCCAGACTGTTTGCAGATAATAACGTGTTTCTGTAGACTTTACACAATGGAAGGGGTCTACTATAGCCATGTCCTTTCTCCTTAAGCTGAAAACTTCCTAGAGTTTTACTGTTTAGGTTTTTGGATGTTGTCAGGCACTTAGGAGGGAGGCTCCTACCTGAAACTCACCAGAAATGTAGCTAGAACATTTTTATTGTTCGTGTTTGTGTAAACTTAACAACTGTAAATCTGACTGAATTATCAAGGCATTTTTATTTCTGTACATATACTATCTTCTCATGTTCCTTTAATATGAAAACTCACTGTGTTTTCCCCCGAATAGAACTTTAGGTATTATTTTTTAGATGACAGGACCTTTCTCTTTATGAATCTAAGCTGAGACTAAGAAATAAACTATTTAAAAATGGCAAAACCTCCAAGTTTGAGTAAAAAGAGGTGAATGCACAGGACAGTAAACTCTGTTGTGGGAAACTGCTGCCCCGCCGCCAGCGCCCCGTAGTTACACAAGCCTTTGAAGAGCACTTTCACAACTCTGCGTCACAGCTGCCACTTCTGCTTTCCTCTAATGCATTTAAGGGTCATGGTAGATGGCAACGTTACTTGAATGATATATGCAAACATCTCCCTTCCTGCATGATGTCAACACCTGGGCAACAAAGTTTCTCTACCATTGCCAACAGGAATAACTACATTGTGAAGAGGTGAAGCACAACAGTTCCTTCAAAAATGCTTATGCAATGAACAGAGAAATTTTACAACTTAGTCTAGTCCACCACTCAATTTGGCCAAGGTCATACTGTTGCAAGAATTAAGAACCAAGGTCCCCATCCTCAGTTCAAAGATACTCTCACTACTCTAGGCCAATCAACCATCAATTGAGGAGATGAAATTTTCTCCTCTGCCCTTTATTTTCTTTCCTACTCCAGCACCTTCCCTCAACTTATTCAGTCTTTTAGTGTGGAAACTTTTCCAGTGAGATTACCTCAACTAGTATATAGCAAACACTGCTGTTCATCCCTCTGTTTTAGAGTCTGTCTTGAATTTGACTCTCATGGTACAAACCATTCAGGATTTCCACTTCCTCACACTGTCCTCTAATCTCCCGGCTGCCCTCTGGCTGTAGGTGCTCCCCAAGACTCCCGCTTCCATTCTACACTTCCACTGACAACCTGGAACTTGTTCCCATAACTTTAGCCCTGATCCTTCTGAGTTCCAGATTCTTATCTCCAGGTGTTCCCCAAATATTTTTACATTCTTATCTCCTCAAACTCAGTATGTCCAAAAATACATCCTCTCTTCTTCCACATATTTTTCTCAACTTCCTAAGAGTATCACCACTTTTCCATTCATGCAAGTTCAAAACTTCGATGACCTGACTCCTCCACCTCTACCTAGTCCTACTGATATTTTTAAAAATTCTTTGTGCTCATTTTTGAACTCATTTTTCTTTTGGTTCCCACAAAAACCACCATAAACTAGGTCTCCATCAGCCTCTCAATCAGTCTCCCCATCTCCAACTCATCTTCTTCGTTCTTAAATGTCTGCATCGCCATGTTAATCTGCTGTTCCAAAAGTCTTTCACTTTTCTTGATTAGGTCCTTCCTCTCTAACCAGGTGGGTCTACTCACTGTTTTTCCACTGTTACTCTCCTGTTCCTCTGCCTGCACACAATAAACCCCACAGCTAGAGCGCACCTTCTCCTGACTGTCACTTGTTCACATCCTGACTGCCTTCAATGCTGGTTCAAGTTCAGCCTCTTCAATGTAGCTTTCTGTCACTGTTCCTGGATTTACTATCTATACATCACTATTTGGGGTGCTTAACTGCCAGTCGTTTTATATGTTAACTTTTTGATGTGCTTGTCTTCCTGGTATGGCTGTAGGAGCCACATCTTACGTGTCTTTGCTGCTTCTGAAACTTACCTGATAACTATCACATTATAAAAAAAAAATGAGGCACAGTAGTTAAGAGAACATGATTATGAAGTAGAAAATTCTGAGTTTAGATCCTGGTTTTGTTCCTTTCTCAATAGGTGGCCTTGGGAAAGTTTCTTAACCTGTATAAGGTTTCATATGTATAAAACAGATAACATGCCTATTTCACAGGGTTGCTGAAAAGTTTAATGTGTATGTCTGTATATACACACACACTCACACACACACAATGTTTAACATAGTATTTGGTCTTCAGTGAGTATTTTTTAAACAGATGGCTATTACGATTTTGCACAAAGTAGGCATTCCTCTTTGGTCAATATTTTAAGCTGCAAAGGTCACGTTAAATATTATTTCATAACATGTTGTCAAGACTGCACTTCATGTGAAGTTTTATACCACTGATCACTATATTTAGCCAAAAATGACTTTTCTAAGTTACATTCCAGAAGAGCAAGAAACACAACTTTTAACTTTCAAGCTGTGCCCAGATGCCAGGACTTGGTGTATGAAACTATATAAGATTGGTTTCATTCCACATACATATGCCAATCCAGCATGATTTTCAGCAACGGTCATTTTTCAAATGCAGCTAAATAAGAACTAAACAATCTTTGGGAAGGCTAAAATATTTCCAGAAAGCCCAGCCAATGGATAAAGATTTTATGAGATAGGATTGCTAGAGCCTGTCAAAAACCAGAGCTCAGTAATTAGCGACTATGGCCAGCTTTTTCTATGAAGAAGAGTGTAAGTCTTCTGTAACAGATCAATTACCAACTCTAACCAATGGCTTTAAAAAACATAATTAGAATGTTGCAATCCAGTACATTAAAAACTAAAGACCTGATCTTTGTTCACTGAGGTAATATTTTTTTCCCTAATGAAACATACAGTCTTTTCTCCTTTGTGCAGCAGGTCACAACTTTCCCTAGGTTAAGTCATTCCATATTTAAAAAAAAAAATCAGATACCATGCCTCTGCTAAGGTTCCAGGAACTTTCCACCCGGAATCTCTATGATCTTGCAGGAGAGGCTGCATCAGAGTAGAGCAAGTTAATGCCATTGTCTTCTTTTGCCTTGATTTGGGCCTCCCACAATGATAAGCACCCGCAGGGCAAGTGTCTCTCTACACCACCACCCAAACTGCCTCCCTGCAAAGACCCCAGCTTCATTATTTCTGCACCCCTGGGCAGAGCAACTGCATGGCCTTACCGCAGACGTTAGACGAGCGAGAATTTCATCGCTGCTTTCTTCTGAGTCTTCCATTTTCTGATGAGACCTTTGTAAAACAAAGAACAAAGTCCTCTTCAGCTCTGGTTACTCAAGTATATCTACCAAGTTATGGGGAATACATGGCAAATAATTGTATTATCGTTTAACACATTAGTGAAAGTATTTATGCAAATAACAAGGTGATAATAATGCCACAAGAAGACAACTCTGTTGCAGCCCAACTGTTCCTTCAAAATCAATTAACAAGAACCTCTTCACCACACATCAATTAAATCTTGAGGACTGAGTACTGCTCTCCAAATGACATCACAGAATAATTCTGCTACACCAGATTCACAAATACAGGCATGCACCAAGCATAAGTAGATGGCGACTGTCAGGTGGTTAAGTAATGAAATTTCCTCTAAGTCAAAATGAAATCCAGATTCTGAAAATACGAAGCATGAATTTTCCACTACATTTGAGTTTCAGCCAAAACAGATTTATTACGAAATGGTCTATTATAGGCCTAATATGGTGATAGAAATTATGTGGAATCCAACAGCAGAATCACTTTGCTCCTTTTTATGAGACCATAGCCCAGGTGAGAAGAAAATTATGCCCATAGTAGATAACTAAAAAGATATACAACATATTTCACAGTACAAGATCAGTTTGTTTAGGAAAATCACCATTCTAATGTAATTCATGAAAAAACTGTCACCACACAAGTATATGCTAACATATAAAAAATCTACTTAAATCTTATAAAATTCCTTTTTTCCCCCTTGACTTGGTCAAAGGGAAAAAACAGTTCATTAATGCCCACTGAGTATATGTAATTGTCTCCCAGATCTATTTCCATAAGCAATTCCTTTCAACACCTTCCGTGGACTTGCAGGAATTGGTGGTAATTGCCCTGCAGAGCAATGATTGATTTCAATCTTGGAACCTGCAGTGGGCCAGTTGGAGCGTTGGCCTTGCAGGGCAGGAGGGCTTCTCCTGGCTCATGGGAGAGCTCAGAAGATGCTCCTTATGAAAGGAAAAGCCAGTCTGATCAATTCTGGCATTGGCTTCCTTTTTCTGTAAATGTTATCAAACTCTTTCAAAGGAAAAAAGTCCCACTCTTCAAATCAGAGCAATGAATTACAAATTATTGCTTTTATAAGAATTGTATGATACAAGTATGAAGCAGTGCGCATGCTGTCAAATAATCATTTTGCAGCAAAGCATTTGAAACATTACCTTGCTAGTAAACATTTCAAACAATGAATTTTATTATTAAAATGAGGTATTCACAAGGTTTCCATAATACATGAAGTTATACTGAGAAGAGATTTGCAACCCTTTATAACCAAAGCCACCAAATCAGGTATATATGGTTAAGCTGAGGCGATAGAACAGATCTGAGAGGAAATTAGGAGCTAAGGGCATTAGACCAAGAGCACCAAACAAGGGCCTCAATGTTTCGTTGTGTCTGGAGTGGAGCACGGGCTGTCTCATCCTCTCGGGATTCTTAGACCCCAGTAGGTACCCGGAAGATTAGTTAACGTGCATGAGGCATTTCACACTAGCACCGATTATCAAGAATGTGTCTTCAGCAAACTGCTGAAAGGAACTCAAAACTCCAAGGGAAGCTCTTGAGTATGACTGATAATGGTTATTTGCTGAGTAAGGGCCAAGCCGTTGCCAGGTTAGTAACAAATAATTTCGTCTCTGTGCAAAAGAAACTTTCATCATTCTTCCAGCACAAAACATACCTTGGCAGAAAAGTTTCTTAAGGAAATATGCATAAGAAAGATGGAGTGAGGATCTCTGGAAAGCTGTTCCACAGCCCACATCTCATTTTATCACCTCAATCACCACGATTTGTACCAAGAACTCCCAAGTCTTTCTCTAGTCCCTCAATCTCCCCTGAGCTCACTTTTTGTTTCCGTCTGCCTTCAAAGTGGCTCTAGGTGGCAATTCCAGGAACTTTATTTTCACCCACGTGGGGATCTCATAGGCTCCTTAAATTCAATATAATTTGAATTCCTCTTGTCTCCTGTCCTCACTGGTTCTACCTCTTGTCTCTCTGCCTCTCACAACTCAGCTTCACAGTCACCTGCATTCCCCACCTTCCCAGCCACCAGGTCCTCTCAGGCTCTGCTTTCCTATGATCCCTCCCCATAAGCCTCACTGACAGACCCTCACCTCTGCAACTTGTTTTAACCACCTTCTAACCCACTTGCCTCTGCTTCTCCTTCTGTTCCAGATCTTCTCTACAGGCCAGGATTCTCCTTCCACAACTTGGAGCTGGTCCCGCTCTTCTCCAGAACCTGCAGGAGAGCTCTAGAGTCCAGAAACTCTCTTTTTGCTGGTGAGTCCCAGGCCCCCCGCCCCAGCTGGTGCCCGCACAGCACCTGGCATACTGGAGGGTCTCGGGAGCAGGACTCAGGGGGACAGGCAAACAGTGGGAGAGCTTGAAAGAGGGGAGGGAAGAGAGAAGGGCAACACTCAACCACCCTGCTTCCTTCCTCACCGCTGTGGCCTCTCTTCAGCTCGATGCAGAAAGGCCCAGAAAAACCAGACTCTCCCCAGTAAATGTATTTTTACAAAAGAGGTAAATTCTGATTATTTTATGATGTAAACACACATCAGTGCAACCCAGTTAGACAAAGTTCCCATGTATCAGGTCAATATAGATAATGAAACAGATGGAGCAAGAGAGAATAAAGAAAAGAATCAGCTGTATTAGGTAGGATGCTGTTTTATACAAGGGACTCAAGCATCCATGGATTTTTGGTATTCATGGGGGTCCTGGAATCAACAGATACTGGTTATGATGGTACTTGCATATTTCCCTATTATTACTAAAGGGGCCATGCTGCTCAGTGAGGGGAAGATAGAAGCTCTGGTTAGAGAAGGGAAACAAAGAAACCCTGGCTGGACTCAGTAGGCAATGGCAGTGACAAGTTGACATAAGGAAGAGAAGACCCCAGGAAGTGACCCCCAGGAAGGAAGACCCATCCCTGAGGGTTTGTGCCAGCAAGAAGCTCTGACCCAACAGGCGGCCCCTTATGAATTCTCATGGCTGCTTCTCAAGATCTCTGCTTGCCCAAGCCTGACCCAGGAACTCCCCAAGGCAAATGCCGAGTCCTGGTGCCATCTAGGGCAGATGTCTTTGTAAGTTTGAGAGGTCTGCAATATCTAAGGGTACCCCTGTGAGGACACAGGGATGGCAAAAGCCTGCGGTCCTCTGCCCCGTCCCTCTAGCCATCAAATAAGACACATCATCATTCTATGAAGCCCACCAAAACAAAGCAAACAACTGCCCTCCTTACAGTCTTCCCCAACTTAATGAATGGCAACTCCACCCTTCCAGCTGGAAATCACTCTTGACCTCCCTCCTCCTTATACTCTACACCGTATCCACCCCCAAATCCCATCAGCTCTCCTTCAAGGGATGTCTCCCATTGGACCGTTTTTCACCACCTCTATCCTACCAGTGTTACCAGAGGCACAAAATCTCTTATCTAGACCCAGGAGCCAGAGAGGTCTTATTAATGTGTAAGTTACATCATGTCCCCCCTCTGCTCAAAATCCTCAACTGACTCCCCATCTCCCTCCGTATAAAGCCAATGCCTCTACAGGGCCTGACATCCCTGGCTCTCTTTACTCCGATCCAGTCACTCTTGCTTGCCCCTTAATGCTCTTGTCCTGCACTATCCTCTTAACCTAGAACACTGCCCTCACACAACCACACTGCTTCTTCCCTCATGTCCTTCACGTCTGTCAGCCTCTTGGAGAGGCCTTTACTGACTCATTGCTGTATCACTCATTTCCTACTTTATTTATCTTCATAAGTTTTCCACTGTTAACCAACAGAAATCTGCTTGTTTATGAAACCGTCTGTCCTTCCCTCTTAGACTACAGGCTCCACGGGAGTAGAGATTTCTGTCTTCTTTGTTCATGGTTATGTTCACAACACTTAGAACACAACCTCACTATTGAATGCTTCCGTAGAAAACATTCAATAAATATTTGTTGAATAAATTAACTAAGTGCTTTAAACTTCAGTGAATGCTCTGTTACGAACCATCACCCCTAACTACCGCTGTACAGATGTTAGCTTGTTCTCTGTGGTCAGTTCAACTGAAGGACCCTGCTTATACTCAAAAACTATTTCCCTCAGCTCTTCCATCATCCTCCCAGCTCCCTGCAGAAGTCCCTCCTTTCCATGAGTTTCTTGTCATTAAAATCCAACGTGAATGACTTTCTTATATCAAATACCAAAGAGTGGTATTCAAAATATCTTAAATAAAATAAGAGCAACCAATGACCACCCCCACCTTTCCCCTCATCTGTTTTCCCTAAGAAATAATTAGTGCAGACTTGGTGACAGTTCCCAGCCTGGCCAATTCTTTGACAATCACTTACACAATTCATACTGCAAACAGAAAAGAAGCAGGAAGTTCCCCACCCAAAAAGGTCTCCCAACACAAACTCTCAGCTCTGAGAGGGCAAAATAGTGTGTTGAATTCCAATAAAAGCCTTAGGAAGTGGCACATAAGAGCCATTATCCGGGCAGTGGAATCTATTTTATACCAATCAGGTCCAGTATAATTTCGAGATACTTGGATTTAACTGATATCCCTGCCAAGGGGTTCCCGGAATTCTCTTAGTGAAAATGCCTTCATGAGAATCAGTATAATGGATTTGGGATTATTCTAATGAAGTTTCTAAAAATGAAGCTTACCATAAATCTCCTACACAAAAGAGAAAATCCCCACTCCTTAATCTGGTTTTGACCAACACATTTGTACCTCAAGATTCAAAAGCACCAATACCATCATAAAGTTAGAAAACCCTACTTGCTTTTCAATAATGGAAGGGGTTTCCTGGGATTTCATGACGGAAAGCTGGAAGCATTTCTTACAGAAATATTATCTCAATAATATCACTTTACAGTATATGTTGATGAAACTTCAAAAATGCACAAGTTCTCTATCTGTCTCAATACTGAACAGCATATTCACTTAGCTGCCAAGTGCCACCCCTACACACACAAAATGGTTCCTACAGGAA